CGTCTACTTCTGTGGGCCGCCGCTGGGCCTGAATGTCTCTGCCGGCTGCCGCTGGGTCTGAATATCCCTGTCGGCTGCCGCCGCTGGGCCGGTCTACCTCCACCGGCCCCCGCCGCAGGCCTACCTGCGTCTGCTTGTCTCTGCCGCCGGGCCTGTCTACCTGTCCAGATATGTGTCTTGTTAAGTGTCACACCATTATATTGTGTCCCAGGTGCTTGAGTGTCCCTGTGCTTGGTGACTTTCTAGGACTCGGTACTTGGTATGTAGTCATGCTCACAGCTAAGATTATCATGGAAAAAAAAAATAGAGCAAAGGGCAAAGCCAGGCAGGCTTCCAAGAGGCCCTGTTCCAGTGACGTGACACAGGACACTGACTTCCCCTATCTATTGACATCATGGGAAGCTCTTTGCGGGCTCCATGCCCACATTCCTATTATGGACTTGTCAAGTAGGCATTTTCTGCTGTCTTGCTCCAAATTCCAGGCTCCCAGAAGGGAAGCAGGTGTTCAGAATAAACCACACTGGTCAAGCAGTTGGGACCCAAGGGGATAACGGAAGGCATGGGTGGGATTTGAGGTGCTCCTCAGACCCAAGTTTCCAAATGCCACTCCCTGTACCGCTCCTGGAGCCAGGCTTCCTGGGGGTGGGCCGGCCACGCTGGGTCTCTGCACACGACACTGCTGTTGCCCCTGCCACTGACGTCTCCATGTAAGCTACACTTTGCCCTGCTGTAATTTTTACGTACTTGGTGTAGAGCTAAGTAAAGATTACAGATACTTCATTCTTCACTAAACTGCCATTTGTAGTACTTGAGTGCACTCCGACAGTCCTATTTGAGTGGGTCCATTACCGTTGTTCTGTTTCCATGTTCCGGTTATCTGCTGCTCAGTCGTGCTGTGGGGGTCCCTGGTGGCTCCTCTGCCCCATTGCTTCTTACATGCTGAGTTCAGGTGAACTTCTTGCACTTGAAGTTGAAACTAGCCATTTCTGTGAAGGGCTGTGGTCCTGTCCAGGGGAGGTGACATTCGAAAGCTAGGACTGTGGATGCGGCTTCGCTGTTCAGATGTCACTATTGCTGAGCCCTTCCAGAGCTGAGCAGAGGCTCTGTGGACATGCAGAAGTCTGCGTCTGCACCCGTCCATACTGGAAGCGGTGGATCTGCTGGTGGCTCCCATTGCAGCTGACGCGTGGGCTTCGCTGCCGTGTCTCCTTTTTAACCTGCGCAGTTGCCTCTCGGATGGTGAGGGTTGGCTCCTGGCAGCCGCCTCTCTCCCAGCCTGACCCTCCATCCCTCCTGATGGTGCCTCGGTCTGCAGCACCTTCCTCCTCCCTGGCTTATGCAGACTGCTCTTTTTTGACCTCATATATTAGTCCGACTGGATTGCTCATAAAAAGAAGAAAAATAAGCCAAGACTAGGGCATGGGGCAGTATTGGGGGTCAAAGCCAATGTGTAATGATTGAAGAGAATCAATGTGAGCTTTGCTTTAAAAGACTTGATTATTGAATGAGGATTGTGAGGCAGCCTTGGGAGAAATAGTGTTGAAGAAGAAGACAAACATATTAGAATGTTTCCCAGTTCAAAGCCAAACTCTAGTCCCAGACGATTTCACCCCCTTCTAGAACAGGTCATTGTCACACCTGGTGTTTTTTTTACCGTGGCAAACACCGAATCAGTCTTTAATCCTGTTGTGGGGGTTTCCTTGGGGACATAGCCATTTGATATCCAGCGGAGGTCCTGAAGACAGACCAGGGAAATTTCCCCTTCTAGCTTGGTCTAGCACTGACTGCTGGGGTGACTCCATGGGGCGTGGCTGATGACTTACAGAAACGGAGTTCCTAAGTCCCTGGTCCCCCTGCTCAGCACGCAGGCCGCCCCCAGGAAGAGTCTTCTCCTTGCCCATATAATTACAAAGTACAGTTCTCCAGGGGAAGGAACTGATAGGATTAAGGTCTCCTGCTTGATGGAGCCCATATCTGACACTTGTCAGTGAGGCCAGGAACCTGAGACCAGGCCATGGGCTCTAGGGGAAAACCTGCTCTTACCACTAAATGGGCATGAGTAGTGTAGATCATTACTACTAGGCTCAAACACATATTTACCAATCAGAGTAGGAAGCAAAACAACACATTTTTGCCAATGAGAAATAGGTTTGTTTATTACTGTAGTGTAAAAATCTGTGCTCAGGGATCCATGGGACTCCTGGAAAGCATTTTCTGTACCCTGCTGCTTGCTGAACAGTGTGTCAAGATGCCTGGAAAGTGGTGGCAGATGAGACAAAGATCCATAGCCCAATGCATTCACTGTTTGAAGCCTTGGCTGTGCCGTGTGTTGTCCGCTTTGTTGTGGGAGAGAGTTGAGCCCTGTCTGTCTGTGGAGCATGCCGGATGAGCCCTGTCTGTCTGTGGAGCATGCCGGATGAGTCCTGTCTGTCTGTGGAGCATGCCGGATGAGCCCTGTCTGTCTGTGGAGCATGCCGATGAGCCCTGTCTGTCTGTGGAGCATGCGTTTGGCCGAGCATGGCCTCCGACGCAGTGCTCTTGTTGGGATCTGGAAAGTGGCTTGCTCACAGTGCGGCAGACGTCAGTGTGGATGACCCTCTTAGACAGTTGGCCCTGGGTGTGCTCTGGAGTGGGTGGAGCCGCTGCTCAGCTAGTCCTGGCCAGTGGCCACGCCCCACTTGTCCCCCAGGTCAATCAAGAAGTAGGTCGCTGTGGCATGGAAGAAGAGAGGACAAAAGGCTGTTGTGCGGGGTCAGAGCGGAGAGCGGCGCTGGTGGCCGCGGTGCACTCCGCTTCCCGTGAAGTTTCTTCAGCCATCCTGCACTGTGTGTCCTTAGCAGTTCCCGGACCAGAGGAGTTGCTCACATTGTCAGGGTCTCCGGTGTCATATGACCTGTTTTGTCCTCACATAAGGAAATCTCTCCTGTTTGCCTTTTGTTTAACATCAGTTCCATAGTGTAAAAGAAATATAAAGGAAATAAGTAAGTAAATCATTAGCAAAAAAGCATGAAGTAAGAAATGTGCTTTGAAATGATGGGTAACAGAAGCATGTTTATTAAGAATGTATTCTAGTGTCAAAGTCAGATTTCAGCAGGGCCAAAAACCTAATTCCTTTTGCGCCAACTTAATAATTCTTTTTGCTCACAGTGAATGCTTTCTGAAATTCTGTCTTCATCTGTATTCCTTAGGATGAAAGTTAAGAAACTACCCATGATTCTGGCTCTCCACCTGAAAAGATTTAAGTATATGGACCAGCTTCACCGATACACAAAGCTTTCTTACCGGGTCGTTTTTCCCTTAGAACTTCGTCTGTTTAACACTTCAGGAGATGCAACCAACCCCGACAGGATGTACGACCTTGTGGCTGTCGTGGTTCACTGCGGAAGGTAACTGTGACTCGGGCCGGCCACAGTGGGACAGAGCATGTTTGGAGTGTTCACTGGGCAGCACTGGGAAAGACACTTGAGATGGTTTTTTAATGTCTGTGAGTGTTTTGAAAAACCTGCATGTATGCCTGGTGCCTTCGGAGGCCTGAAGTCACAGATGGTTGTGAGCCAACATGTGGGTGCTGGGAACTGAACCCCGGCCCCCGGGAAGAGCAGCCAGTGCTCTTACCCTCTGAGCCACCTCTCCGGCCCCTCTCTGACTCTTTAGGCCGTCTTTTTGCTGTGCAACCCAGGGTAGCCTGAAATCTCAGTCCTCCTGCCTCAGCCTCCTGAGTGCTAGAATTAGTCTGTGTGCTCCCACGGCTGGCTGGACACTAACAGTCTTCGTCTTTTTCAAGATGAGTTTGTTTTAAAACTGGTTTTTGAGATAGGTGTTGATCCCTCTCCTTTAACCCCTTTACGTATTTTAATGTATGCCTTCGTTTTTATTCCTGTTTGTCTAGTCGTCTAAGGACCCAATGTCACAGCCTCTAGAACTCGACGACAGTCTATTGGTTTCCTTTGCCTGTTTGGTTTTGTGTGGAAATGATGCCTGAATAGATTTTGCAAGATAAACTGTCCCTGAGTGTAGTTAGGTGTGTTTCCTGTCAGTGACTGTGAGAGGAATTTAAAGTGGCTTTGGTAATTACCTTCAGAAGTTTTGATTTTACCTTCATGTCTGTTTATCATTTCCAACCAGCCAAATTCCCGTTCAGTCCCAGCCAACCCCCCTTTCCCATACTGTGTGGGTGCACAGGCTTGGGTCCCATTTTTGCGTTTTGGGTGTTGTACTTTGGGTACTGAACCCAGAGTCTTACACGTGCCAAGTAAATGCTGCACCACTGAACTACATGCCCGGATCTTTAAGAGTGCACACCACTCCTCCGGAGATGGGAGTTCATCCCAGCACCCTCTCAGGAGGCTCACAACTGCCTCTCACCAGCTCCAGGGGATCCGAGGTACTCTTCTGGTCTGTTCGTTCGTGTGCACCAACATGTACGTACACACACACACACACACACACACACACACACTTTTTTTTTAAACTTTGAAATTTAGGACTAGAAGGTAATATGAATGACAAATTAAAAAAGTTAACTTTTCTTCTGTTTTCTTTTGTAGCGGTCCCAATCGAGGCCATTATATTGCCATAGTTAAGAGTCACGATTTTTGGTTGTTGTTTGATGACGACATTGTAGAAGTAAGTAGCTTCTTCACTTCTGTGGAGTTGTGCGTTTCTTCTTCACTTTTTCCTTCACAGCTTTGGACTCGTGTGGCCAACAGCAGGTGTCAGACAGTGTTCAGGGTACAGAGTCCTCTGAGCTCTGCTTCTTCCCGTTGTCCACGCGGGAGTGACCAGCCAGCCTTCCCCACCCAGAACAGAGAAGGAAGGCTTTCCGTCCTCTTGTGTTGTTTATAAAAATGTTTCTTTCTTTTTCTTTTTTCTTTTTAATATTCATTTATTCATTCATTCATTCATTCATTCACTTATTTATTTATCTATTCATTCATTCATTCATTTATTTATTTATTATGCATACAGTGTTCTCCCTGCATCCCTGCAGGCTGGAAGAGGGCACCAGGTTTACATTAAAGATGGTTGTGAGCCATCATGTGGTTGCTGGAATTGAACTCAGGACCTCTGGAAGAACAGCCAGTGCTCTTAACCTCTGAGCCATCTCTCTAACCCTTCTTTTTTTTTTTCTTAAAAAGTATTGAGCTGTGTAACACAATGCAGACGTCTTAAACCAATTGTATTAGTTAGGTTTTATTGCTGCAATAAAACACGACCAAGGCACCTTATAAAAGAAAGAGTTTAATTGAGCTTATGGTTTCAGTTGGTTAGAGCCCATGAGGGAGTCAGGGAAAGCACACTGGGAATGGAATGGGGAGAGTCTTTTAAAATTGCAAAGCCCACCCCCAGTGATACACCTCCTCCCACAAGAACACACCTTCTAATCCTTCCCAAACCATTCCACCAGCTAGAGACCAAGCATTCAAACGTACGAGTTCACGGGGCTGTTTTCACTCCGACCACTGCACCCGTTATGAGCTTTTCTTTGCAAAGGTGTACGTGCTCAAATGTACGCTTATACCCACCAGCCAGGTGAAATGTGGGGAGTTTCCGCACCCCAGCACGCTCCCCCTGCTCCTGTTTAGCCAGCACAGCGCTCCATATTTTTGCCCTCTGTCCCTTGGTACTCACTGTTTGCAATTGTGCTGCGGGGATTAATCTTTGCTGTGCTTCACGGTGATTCTGAAGCCTGGCTCTTGTCCTTACTTTGCTGTGAGATCCATCCCCACAGTGCCCACTGCCCCATGCCTTGTGATTGTCTGCTGTATGAATGTAGCCGTGAGACATGGCCTTCCGTCAGCATTGGCTGTCAGGAACAGAAATGCTCGTGTCCTCCTGTCTGGTCCTTTGTTGACAGGTGTTCTCATGTTTACATATCCAGAATAGTTGACGGTTAATGTGTTCCATGTAGGTCGACGGACACTTGGAATGAGAGGTGCTGCCTCAAGGGTAGCTGTTGTGTTCAGCTTTGACCCATTGCTGAAAGTGTTCCCAGCGTGACTGTAACGCTCCTCAGCATGTGGCTGAACTCTTTGTCCCGGCCTTAGCGACATTGGGTACTGTTTGTTGGAGTTTCAAGTGTGGTTGTCAGAGCTGCATGTGCTAACGTCTCTGTTCTGCCTCACAGAAAATAGATGCACAAGCTATTGAAGAGTTCTACGGGTTGACGTCTGATATCTCCAAGAACTCGGAGTCTGGGTACATCCTTTTCTATCAGTCTCGGGACTGAAGGAGCCAAGGCGGAGCAAGCGTCTGCATGCTTCTCTGGTTGTTTCAGGAAGGATCAAGCTGATGGTCAAGAAGAGAGAGAGATTCAGGACGCTCAGGGCAGTAGCACACTTTGCATACAATAAAGCAAAGACTGTGGATTAACATGCCCTTCCGATCACAGTAGTTGAATTTTTTTGCTCAGGAATCATGCTGTCTGTGCAGTTCCACACAAGGAAGTGAAATCAGAGATACCAGCTCCTCTGGTAAAGCAGCTGCCAGCTACCGACACACATGTTCTCTGTGAACCACACCAATGATGGTTTGAGTTCCTCGGGAGGGCGGTGGAAGAACTAGAATATGTCAGGTTGAAGGAGCACGCCGCACTGTGCGCGCACGGGATGCTCACATTGGATGGGAGCGGTCGAGTGGTCTCTTCAGACAAACCGGAAAGCACCTTTGGGCCCAACACTCGCAGTTGCCTTCCTGACGCACAGAACTAGCAGACACGGAGCCCGGTGTCAGGAAGTCAAAGATACTCTGCTTCTCTGGAGAAGCGTGTGATAATGTACAGTGTGTGTACGCGGAGGGAACAGTTGGTCAGAAGTGGCTTCTTGGTTCCCCAAGGGGAAAGACTGGCTTTGTAATGATCATTTTCCTTATTTATTTTATTAAACTGGTGGAGTCCGAGCATTACATGAAGTGCCGGTGATTCTGTCAGCAAATCTCAGCATATTTTATTAGTTTGTCGGCAGAAGTAGTCTGTTGTTTGTTTCTGTTTTTAAGGTGAACTGAAAATTCTAGCTGAAATCACTAAGATAATCATGAGATGATTGCAGTGAGCAGACAGACACGGTCAGGAGGAGCTGTCCCTGGCTGAATGTTTGCTCTTTGTCCTAGTTTGTCACTTGCTTTTTTTTAAGCTTTAATTTCAGTAAAGTAGAAATTCCCTGTTGGTAGAATGATCAAGGAAACCCGTGTGATGCTGGCATGTTGTCGGCCAGAACCCCCAACTCCTCACAGCTGTGTTGTTTTGAGTCTCTAGCCTTGGGATGGACTGCTAGATTCTTCAGAATCCCAGCAGCAGGGAGCAGCTAGAGCCCTTTGCGAGATGACACTTGGGGAGGTAGACCAGTAATCCAGAAAAGAAGCCCCTCCCCTCCTGACCCGCACATCCCTTAGAACGGTGTTCAGAAGCTCGTGACAGGAGTCTCCTGTATGTCTGAGCATCAAGTAGCTTGGCAGTGGCTGAATGTAACTTGTAGAAAGCAACTGAGGATTATAGTCCAAGTCACAGCAGCCAGGCTCTGGGTAGTCCATCTCACTGCATTCTTCATGCGGTGGTGGTGGCCTACTGATAAGCCCCTAATTTTCTAAGGTTATTTTACTAAAACTGTTGACTGAGAAGCAAACAGCAAAAAGAAATGTTTTGTGCTGCTATTATTAACATTTACTTTCTGTACTTTTTAGCTCAGGAAATGACTTCATCTGTTCGTCCCATAAGCAGGTTTGTAACAGGGTCACTTAGCTAATCGGGCTTCGTAGACAGATGTGCTGGGAGAAGAAGATGACCTTTTGACAGACTCATTTTATGGTGTCTGAAGCCTTACCCTGGCTGGGGTTTGTGATCTGCAGGCTTTGCCCAGAGAACACAAGTAGGAGCGTGGGGGGTCAGGGCCATTGAGAGCACGTGATATTGAGGGCTTAAACCAAATTGTGTTGGAATCCAGAACTGCGTTTTTTGCAGCTTTGTGTTCAAAGAAAAGGCATCAAGTATGGCTGAGTTCTCGAGGCTGCCCCGTGCAGCCCTGAAGTACGGTCTTGTTTGCTTGCACACAGGAAAAGGCCTAGTTAAGTTCTGGATGGTGGCAAGTTCTAGCAAGGTTACTGAGCTCCCGGCAGCCAGCCACGCCCTGCTCAGGTCTGCGCGGGGCAGTCTGCGGGGGAGGACCACTTACTGGCTGTTGGCTCTAACTCGGTTTTATTCTTAGTGCAGAAGGACCTAAGTAAAACATTTTGAATTTTATCAGAAACTTTATCAGTAAACTTTAAAAACATACAGGGTTTGGGTTGGGGACTGGGAGTATCAGGTATAGGAAGTGAAGAAGGTGACCCCCCCAGCACATGTTTCAAGGTGATCGTTCTTTGCCTGCGATGATGATGATGAGGGCAGATGCAGGTGTGAACAAGGCTAGTTGCTGTGTAATTATGTACATGTTTGCTGGGGCAGCCGCCCCAAATTTTGTATATTAGAACAAAAGTTTCTATGAATTATCGTAACTAAAAGTAAATATTCTAAGTTAAGCCCCACTTCTGGGTCATGTGGCTTCTGTCATAGGAATTTTACCTTTAGAAGGTCACTGAAGACAGGAGCCA